CCCCCCGCCCTTTGCTGCCTCTGTCAGAGGCAGGTGGGGAGGGAAGAAGAGGAGGTCCTGGGGGAGCCTGCTTAAAAGCCAGTCCCCCCAGCTCCAGCTCCAGCTCTGTGGGAGGGGCAGGGGCGCAGCGGCAGCCAACTTTGAAGGGGGATCTCTTCCAGCCCTAGGATTCTACGAAAGTCCCCGCTGGGCTCTTGTACATTTCAAAGCGGAAGCGCCGGGCCGCCCCCCCCCCCCCCCCCCCAGCCCCAGGCTCTATGCACTGTTCCTACTTTGAAAGGTACAGGAGACCCTGCTGTGGCTCTTGTACGTTTCAAAGGCAGCATGTGCGCTAGTCCTTATCGACTAACGGAATAGTCGATGGAAATCCCATCGACTATTCCATTCGTTAATTACTCGATATTTAACATCCCTAGTCGGCACCAGAAACCCCAGCGGTAACGGGCCCTGGCTGCACTAGCCCAGGTCTGAGTCCACGGCATGGCAAAGGAACGGGGAGGGGACAGTCCAACACAGCCGGTCCCATCCCCAGCTACTGACTCGGGGTGGCCAATGCTGCAGGCCCAAAACAGCTGTAGCTCCTAGGCCCTGCTGCCTGGGGGTGGGCAGGCTGAGGCAGGCAGCGGGGCTGGGGAACAGGAGCCGTGCCTGGCCCGCCTCTGTTCATGCCCTGTCTGCCGTCTGTTGCAGTGATCCGAGCAAAGGCCGTCTCCCTAATTGAGGTGGATTCTGGGAACGATGTTTACGGGAATCCGATCAAACGAATCCAGTACGAGATCAAGCAGATCAAGGTACGAGACTCGCGGCTGCGCCCAGCTCTGGGGCGGCGAGTAGGAGGCGGCGGGTGACAGAGCGTGGGCTGGAGAGAGAACTGGGTGAGGGGGTCCCTCCAGCAAACCCAGCCTGGGATTGCACCTGCAAGCGCCGAGCCCCCCCATAGTGGCCTGGTAGTCCCCCCGGCACTTGGCTTCTTCGCGCCAGGCCAGGCACATGCTCCCGCCCGATCTCCGGCAGCGTGGGCGGGGGAGACGTCTGGCCGACCGCCCTCTCGCTCTCTCCCGCTAGATGTTCAAGGGGCCGGAGCAGGACATAGAGCGCATCTACACGGCGCCGTCCTCGGCTGTGTGCGGCGTGGCGCTGGAAACCGGCGGGAAGAAGGAATATCTCATCGCAGGTAGGCGTGGCCCGACCATGTGGTGGCTTGGGGGGAAATGCCAGCCGAGGAAGCCGGAGCTGTGTGACCCCTGTGCAAACCGGGGCCTAGTCCGTGCTTGGCTCCCCGCTCCGACGCCCTGGGGCCTGGGCCTGCTGGGCTGGCGCTCCGGCCCGGCCGAGCCCACGGAATCCTTTGCAGCCGCACCCTGGGTCCCCGAGCGCGTCAGGTCCGTTTCCACGTCCAGCGCCTGCCCGGGATCCCTAATGGAGAGGGGCACCGGGGCCTAGTCCGTGCTTGGCTCCCCGCTCCGACGCCCTGGGGCCTGGGCCTGCTGGGCTGGCGCTCCGGCCCGGCCGAGCCCACGGAATCCTTTGCAGCCGCACCCTGGGTCCCCGAGCGCGTCAGGTCCGTTTCCACGTCCAGCGCCTGCCCGGGATCCCTAATGGAGAGGGGCCGCGTGGCCTGGCGCCAGGGGAGCGTGGCTGCGGTGGGAGCGCCATTGCCCGTGTGGGCCGCCCCGCCTGGGCCG